CTATTCAGCATGAACATCATCACATGAACGAAATAACAATAGTTATCGGCTTTATTATAATCGCCATAATCATCATTCTTAAGACTATGGCAACCGTCCACCAGCGATTAACTCGAGACCAAATTTTGCACCATACGGTTAATTGTTCAACTGATCCTAGTTACATGAATAGCATCCTTTCGAGCGGGACATGCCTTGGTCATATTTTAACAGCTCCAGTACTAGACGCAGCTATTATTTTTTTATCCAGATTATTTTTTGCCAATCACGAATTATGTTATTCCTTATATCCTACCGTAAAAATATCCAAGTATGGATTCGTACTGGAATATCGTCGTACTAAGCAAGAAGTTTCTTTGGCAAACAAACTGATAGAAAATGCGTCTAACGTCGCATATGCACACGCTATTTATCTATGGCCTTCTTAAATGGCACCTATGAACCACTATAGGCCAACGGGCAGTGCAGCCTCTGTCAATTTTGGTCATACCAGTAACTACGATTTAGTAAAACCTATTGCAAGGTACTTCGCCATATTTGTTGCCCATCCAAATCATGGATAACACTGCTAATAAAGACCTGGGGCGGAGAATGTTCAAATACCGAAAATCGTTGGTGCTATGATCAGATAACATAGTAGAACTGTGCCATCCAAGTTTGCTAGAGAACATATGTCTCAACGATGAGATGCCGTTGTGCATCAATGCAGCAAAGGTTTTCAAATGTTACGGAACTTCGATTCACTTAAATGCCCACCCCCATTTTAGTAATTCGAGGTTCCGACATCGATAATCTGCAGAAAGCATTAATTAATTTCAAGGTTGAACGCTTTTCTCTGCCGACAAGGCAACGCATAGGTTGAAATTGTATTCCATCATTCCATTACAACAGCCAATCCAAAGCAAAGACGTAATTCATTCGTTCAGCTAAAGCGAAGTTCCGTTTGTTACTGCTTTTCTGCGCAAAATGACTGAAGTATGGTAACTAAATACCTATACATACATTCATTTCACACAAACGTTAGAATACCGCAAGAACGAGGTATTTTTAGACTTAAGTATGTTAAATCCTGCGATGCAAATAAATGAGGCACACTAGCAGCATTAGTATTTACAAAAATTTAATCGATTTTAAAAAATAGGCAAACAATGTAGCGCAGTGTACCTTGTCCATCTTGAAAAGAACTTTATACTGGGAAGTCAACGAGTTCTTCGGCTCAGTAAGTATTCGAACAAGCAGCTTTTCGTCTAAGCTGTGAAAATGGACAATGATCGGTAATCTACCTACAGATAATTCATTTTACCGCATAATGAGGAAAAACAGAGAAAAAATGCTGCTTTACCGACGAACTCCGGAATCATGCCGAATTCGATTAAATCGTGGGCTTCTACCTGACGAAGCAACGCATCCTTTTCGGCGATTTCTTCAAGCGGATCTGACTCTGAGTTCATGTTCGCGATGTCCACTTCGGCTGCTGCCCGCCGACCCGGCGACTTGTCGGTGAACGGGACACCGAAGCCTAAGTACTAAGAAAGGAAGGGAAAGTGGGTCGAGTTAATGCTGTCTGTGAAATAAAACTGCCTACTCAATGAAACCGAAGCTCACCTTCTCATGTTTCCTCCTGCTGACAATCTTGTCAAGGCCGTTGAATGCGCCGGAAGCAACGAAAAGAATGTTGGTCGTGTCCACCTGCACTACCTCACCTCGCATTTTCCGGTTTCCGTGTTGAGGCACGTTCACAATGGAGCCTTCGAGCATTTTTAACAGTGCCTAAACGAGAAGATGTGTCCCAATCACGGCACCGACGCAGACCGTTAAACAAGCTTACTTGTTGAACGCCCTCGCCACCCACGTCCCTGAGTTGATGAATGCCCGGAACGGCGCCAATTTTGTCCACCTCATCCAGAAACACGATCCCTTGTTGAGCCCTTTCAACATTGAAATTGGCGTCCTGCAGAAGACGACTGATCACTGATTCGACATCCTCGCCGACGTAACCCGCCTGAGTCAAAGTCGTGCAATCACAAATGGCTAACGGGACGTCGAGGCACTGCGCGACGGTCTGGGCTAACAAAGTTTTTCCTAAAGACGGAATATCACTAAAACACCGTAAAAACAAAACATCTGAAAATGTCAATACAAAATAGTTCAGCGCATATCAGCGTACTTTAGCCGACTTAGAAAACTACTCGGTCTTGGTTCATTAGGCTGTCAGCCAGTATCGAGGCTCAGCGAAAGTCACCAGTGCCGGCGAATCTTCAATCGACCTACGCATCAGCTGACTGAGTAAGTCAGTTGCAGTAACATATTGCTTTTCTACGCATGTTCTTGAGGCACATGAAAGCACGGCCTATGAATCGAATAGAATTTTGGTTTGCGAAAAAACAGAAAAACATTAGAGATGTCAAGAATAGATAAGGTATTAACTTCCTGTTCTTCAGAAACGTCTTCCTGAAGCGTCTTATCCTCATCTATCCTGTAAATTAAGTAACAGCGGCTCTCGGAAATAACCAAAACGTGCTCAACATGTGGTGTACATTAGAAGGATGATTTTAAATTATTCGTGTATATCCACAATGCAGCAGTTTTAAAGTGACACATGAAAACATTTCCGATAGTCAACTATCAGATTAACGATAACAACTATCAACGTATTCAAACTGTATTTCGGAATATAACACTTTATAAAAGTTCATGATTTTCAGTACAGCAAAATTCTTAAACAGTACACGTCCTGTAGCAGGCAGTACAGGATTTGCTAAAAGCTATATTCGAAAAGAGAGTTATTGCACTATGCCGACAGGCTGGCCTTAAATAATGGACGGCGCCGCTCGGTTGTCAAAGTTCCTATCATGATTTCAGGTCATAGACGGCATCGCCCAGCGATGAATATTTGCAGTATCATTTTCGGAGGATTGATGGCGTACACTGCTATGACAAGATGCCCTGTGCTATCGTCAAAGTAACTCTGTAGGATGACCATGGCAGGCCCCTCCACTTTAACGCCACGTGATGCATAGCATTACCAACTCAGAAGACTAGCCTGCTCGTTAAACATCATCCCGTAAGATAGCACAGCCCGACCCTGACAGGGCCAGATGAAAACCATGAACGTAGACAAACTCACTCTAGAGTTCGAACAATATGTATAAGAGACGCCAGTTCAGCGAATAACAGAGATGAGTATGACTTTAATCGTGTAAAGTGTTTGTAAATTGCTGACAGATAATTCTTCGATCAGGCAGCGTTAAGTCTCCTTAACACATGACCACTAATCTGCAAGTAGCTGACAGGATAGACCATGCTAGAGCAGACCTGTTCAGAGGCGTTCCATAACTTATCTCTGTTTTTCCTGCTTGATGACTTCCAAAATTTTAGTGATCGAAAGGAATCGTCTAGTGAAATCGAGTTGAAAAAGTTCTTTGAATAAAATTTCAACGTTTCCAGTCAGTAAGTTTCGATGACCGATTTATACTTTCGGATCGCGGAGGCAGAGGAGGCAGACACTGGTTCCAATGTTTCCGATCTTGTGTCAGTCTCAGCATCGCCAGACGACAACCTGAGCCTAGAGCAGAGTTCTTCAATATACCGGACCCAGATTAATTTTGGAAATCCCCGGAAGCTTCTGCCGGTCGGTTAAGCAACTTGTAGTTCGTTCGCCTTCCTTTCTGAAGGCATTCGCAACACGTGTCAAAACCATTACAGCTGTGACTTCTTCAACTGAAGAAGCACCGGCTGTACACCAAGGCTCTCTCAGATATACATCAGACGATGTTAATGAGCTTAAGGATTTGTCTCAGAAAGGCCACTTCAGCCCACTGCACATGGGATAGCTTTTCATTCATGGCCCATGGCTCCTGACTGTATGTGAGCATCGAAATTAAAATCTGTTTGAATACTGAGAGGTTATTTCAGCCCTTTCATGAAACTAATTCTGCGACCTCCGCTAAAGACAAGACAATTCTCAATCATTTTTTGCCTAGGTGGAATCTCATCCAAAATAACTTTGACTTGAATAATTAACTTGTTTAACCTTCTGTCATCTTATCTTGCTTTTCTACTGTTTTCAGGTATCATTTGATTAGAACGCAT